AACCACTGATTAGTAACATTTTTAAAAATAAATAACTTATGATGATATTTTCAAAAATATATAGATATACAAAAATAATTTTTTCGCCATTTTCCCTTAAAACTATTGTGTTATGTATATGTAAACGTCTTTTTTTTTTATAACTAAGGGTAAATCCCAAGCTTATGACCTAGACTAATCGTCAAAGGAGGTGTAAACTTTGGATAGATCCTCTCTTCGGATATTCAAATGGGCCAAAAGTAAGGGTCCATATTTATGTGGGTGTCGAGGATAATGTGATTTAGTTTCGCGTAGCAGATTGATAAAACATATAACGTGTTGGCGTCCCAATCCCGTCTCCTTATCACTCGACCACAATGTCCCGGACCATGTAAACGTTTACGAAAGGATACTAATTTATCCGTCTCAGTATATAGTTGACATATACAATGTATTGTGAACTTATAAAATATATTCAATATAAAACATATAAAGTGTATTATCACTACAAGAAAACAAGTCGAATTTCGACCAAACTTTTGTGGTCATAAATTATTTTAACCATTTTTCGACCAATTTTAGACGCATGTTTACATTCGTTATAAATTGGTCAAAACATTATGATAAAATTTAATAGTTAAAAGTTGGTCGAAAATTACAGACCAACTTTTAACGAATTCATAATTTTGTCAAAAAATGGTCGAAAAATTGTGACAAAGAAGATTAGTTGAAAATTAGTCAATAAAACAGATTAATTTCTGAACCAAATTTTTTACCAGTGAATTAGTCAAATTTTTTATTGATGAAATTATGACTAAATTCCGACGAAAACTTGAATTGATCGAAAATTGGTTGAATAATTTTGACAAATATATTTGGTTAATAACTGGTCAAAAAAATTTGATCAAATTCTGATAAAATTTTGAATTGATTGAAAATTGGTGGAAAAATTTCGACGAATATATTTTGTTGATAATTGATCAAAATAAATTCTTATCAAATTTTGACCAATTCAAGTTTTGGTCGAAAATAGATCCAACATTTCTGACCAAAAATACTAAACAGTAAACACTAAACACAAATGGTTTAAAAAAGTTTTGACGAATTTCCCGTCAAAATTCGAATTAGTATATGTACATTACATTACATATCTTTTTCTTTTATAATACGATACATATGTATATAGGTACATTTGATAATTTTCACAAAGGTTTCCTTTCAACAATAGACAGAAACATATACGTTGTAGTTAATAACATTATATTAATGTGGTACAGTAAAATACTTTTTTGTATAACCAACTAATAACACAATAACTAAATAGTATGAAGATAAATAATATTATTCTTAACATCTTTACCGAATTTCGTATTATCAAAAAAACTAGACATTGTTATGTTATTAGTTGGACTCATTAGAGATTAAATTTGGATATTATAAGGAGATATATTCGATAGTTAGGAAAAACATAGTATGAGTGGTTAACAAATAGGGACAATTACAAAAATGTTACTTTTTGTGTGTCTATTTGCAAAATGCC